TTAACCACAAAGTCGGTGGTTGACACCTATCAGCTGCTTTGCAGGAGAAGGATGAGGCTGTCTGCTCCTGTAAAGATTTGGAGTCTTGGAGATCCTGTATGCCATCACTGCAAGTCAGAATTGACTCGGTGGCAGTGGGTTTAGCAAATGCTGGAAGATTTTTTATCACAGAGGAAGTGGTTCGTTTGGCCTAGTAGAAAGTCCATCCAAAGAAGCCAGAAGGGGTGATGGTGCTTGAACTGGGCCCTGAAGCCCTCTGGAGACTGGGAGGCGTCGGAATAGGCGTGGTGGTTCATAGAGCAGGGCAGTGAAGATAGAGCTGGGAGATGTTTGATTTAATAATCCGATAGCAGGTCACAGGCCTGGAGACAGACTAAGAATATAATAGTAATACAAGTTGGGAACATTCTATTTTAACTTCTTGATATTGTTTCCATATTGAGAATAATGATAACTTGTCGTTCTCCCCACCTATTCGGAGAATGAGCTTCTATTGTTCAGGACATTTGAAGACACGAAAAGCTACTAGTAGAAAAATAAAAGTGACTTAAAATGCTATACATAGAAAAATTTTTTTAAAATGCTATACATTTAAGCTGTAACTTTCAACATTTTTATGCTTTCTTTCTGGTCTTTATGTAATTTATTTCTAAAATCGGGTTCATACTATGTAAACAATTTCCCCCCTATTTTTCATTTTATTTACAAGTGTTTCCCTGTGTTGTTATTCCTTAAAGGTGCCATTAAAAATGTATAAATCATTTTACTGGGGGCCTCTTACAGGTCTTAAAACAATCCATAGATCATTTGTATCAAGCACACTTGTACATAGGTTGCCATCATCATTTTCAAGACATTTTCTACTTGGGCCCTTGGTATTGGCTTCTCTTTTTTCCCCTCCCTTCCCCACCCTCACACCCTTGGGAACCCTTGATAAATTATATATATATATATGTGTGTGTGTGTGTGTGTGTATTTATTTATATCTTACACTGTCTGCTATCTCCCTTCACCCCCGTGTCTATTATTTATCCCCCTCTGTAAGGGTTATACACCGATCATTGTGATTGGTTCCCCCTATCTCCCTCTTTTCCCCCCACCTTTCCCTACCCTCGTGGTATCGCTTCTCCCATTACTGTTCCTGAGGGGTTTATCTGTCCTGGATTCTGTGTGTCAAGAGCTCTTATCTGTACCAATGTACATACTCCAGTCTAGTTGAATTTGTAAGGTAGAACTGGTGTCATGATAGTCAGGGGAGGAAACATTGAAGAATTAGAGAAATGTTGTGTTTCATCGGTGCTATACTGCACCCTGGCTGACTTGTCCCTTCCTTGTGACCCTTCTGTGAAGGGGATGTCCAATTGTCTATGGATGGGCTTTGGGCCTCCACTCTGACTGACCCCCCTTGTTTGCATCGATATAATTGTTAGTTTTGGATCTTCTGGTGCCTGATATCTGCTCCTATCGATACCTCGTGATCACACAGATTGGTGTGCTTCTTCCATGTGGGCCTTGTTGCTTCCCTGCTAGATGACCACTTGTTTAATTTCAAAACCTTTAAGACCCCAGATGCTATATCTTTTTTTTTTCAAGGTCATTACATTGGGGGCTTTATAACAATTAATACATCAATTATATCAAGCATATTTGTACATATATTGCCAACACTGTATCTTTTAATAGCCAAGCACCATCAGCTTTCTTCACCACATTAGTTTATGCACCCTTTTTGTCTGCAGTGATTGTGTCAGGAAGGTTAGCATCACAGAATGCCGGGTTCTTAGAACAAAGGGTTCTTGTGTCAGAGAAGGACTTGAGTGGAGGCCCAATGTCTGTCTACTACCTTAATACTTGACATATAAATAGATGTACATAGACCTATATCCCTAATATTATATATTTGCATATATACATGTCTATATTTATACCTCTATAAATGTCTTTTGCCTCCTACTTCTTTCATCTATTTCCTTTTACTTTCCTCCTGCCCCACTATCATGTTCAACCTTCATTCGGCTCTCAGTAATTCCTCTCGGCTACATTGCAGTTGATCAAACCCCACCAAGCGTTCTATGCCCTCCTTGCCGTTGATTTTAGATCCTTGTTGTTCCCTTGTCCCTGAGTTTGTTGGCTCCCCATTCTCCCCCCACCCTCACCCATGTTACCCGCCCCCCTGAACCATCAGTCCCATTGTAAAAATGCTATTTTTAATGCTCATATAATATTTTCTTATGGAAAGTTTACTTCCATGGAGCTCATGCAGTTTATGTAGCTATTATTTTGTTTGTAGATCATTTAAGCTGGTTCCAGTTACTAGCTAATCCAGATTTGGCTCATGTCCTTGTTAAGTGTATTGCCATATTTTAAAATAAATGCATATATTACTTATTTTTCATTATACTAAAGGAAGAAATTAAAGGTGTCCTGAAAGCATTAACTAAAAGGCAAGGCTCCAGGAATTGATGGAATACCAATTGAAATGTTTCAACCAGCTGATGAAGCACTGGAAGCACTTACTTGTTTTTACCAGGAAATTTGGAAGACAGCTACTTTCCCAATTGACTGGAAGAGATTTATATTTATATCCATTCCAAAGAAAGCTGATCCAACAGATTACTCAAATTATAGAACAATATCATTAATATCAAATGCAAGTAAAATTTTGCTGAAAATCATCAACAGCGGGTGCCAGCAGTACATTAACAAGGAACTGCCAGAAGTTCAGGCCGGATTCAGAAGAGGATGTGGAACAAGGGATATTCCTGATGTTAGGTGAATCTTGGCTCAAAGCAGAAAATACTGGAAAGATGTTGTTTTTTATTGACTATGCTAAGGCATTCAACTGTGAAGACCATAGCAAACTCAATAACTTTGAGAAGAATGGAAATTCCAGAGTACAGTACTTCATTGTGCTCATTTAGAGGAGTTTGATATCAGGATTGGAGGAAGGCTTATTATCAAGCTGTGACATGCAGATAATACAACTTTGCTTGCTGAAAGTAAGGAAGATTTGAAGCACTTGCTGACTTAGGTCAAGGAGTGTAGCCTTCAGTATGGATTACAACTCAATGTGGAGAAAACCGAAATTCTCACAACTGGACCAATAGGCAACATCATGAAAAACGGAGAAAGTTGTCAAGGATTTCGTCCTCCTTGAGTCTATAATCAATGCTCATGGAAGCAGTAGTCAAGAGATCAAACAATACAAATGCTCCATAAGACTTTAAAGTGTTGAAAAGGAACAATGTTACTTTGAGGATTAAGATGCCCCTGAGCCAAGCCATGGTATTTTCAATGGGCCCATGCTTGTGAAAGTTGGACATTGAATATGGAAGACCAAAGAAGAACTGATACATTTGAATTACGGTGCTGGCCAAGAATATTGAAAGTACCATGGACTGCCAAAAGAACAAACAGATCTCTCGTGAAAGACGTACAACCAGAATGCTCCTTAGTCAAAGATGGCGAGACTTTGCCTAAGTACTTTGGGCATGTTGTCAGGAGAGACCAGTCCTTAGAGAAGGACATCATGCTTAGTAAGGTAGAGGGGCAGAGAACAAGATAGATGGACACAGTGGCTACAACCAGGGGCGCAAACACAAGAACACTTGTGCAGAGGGTGCAGGACCGGGCAGTGGTATGTTCTGTTGTACATAGGCCCTCTATGAGGCAGAACCAACTTGACGGCACCTACCAACAATCACATTTTTACTTTAAGAAATTTGCTACCCTATTTGTTCTGCTGGCCTTTGTTCATTCTGCCTTCTGCTCTCATTATTGTCTTTTGTTTTTCAATCCTGGGTTTCCCATGGCAGAGAGGCAGTAGGTAAAGTAATTGTTAAGAGAATGGATTCGGAGTCCAGATTGCCTGGGCTTGACTCAGCTCTGCTATTTATTGGGTGTAATCTTGAGAAAGCACTTTAACTTTTCTATGCCACAGTTTCAACTCACCTGTAAAATAGGGAAAATGGCATCCATGTCTTGGAGTTGTGAATTAATATAGACAAAGCACTGGGAATAGTTCCTGCCTTGTGCTCAGAGACAGGCTCTTTTCATTATTACTGATTAAGTTTTCCTCCTTTGTTTTGTCTTTGTATTGCCACAAGCCACCCTCTTTTCTACTACATTTAGGACATGAATATGTTTGGAAATTACCACCTGACTACTGAATTTTACTTGGTGACTTATCTTGAGTAGCAGCTTGACTTAAAGATAAAAGCAGTTGTGTTTAACCTTGTCTTACACATTCATGGGAAAATGGAATTGGAAGATGATGAAAAACTTGGCTTATACACAAGTATATACGGTATTATCTTGATTCCCTAGCATAATTTTTAAAGCCTTTCCTAATCTGGTTCCCTAGAGAAGGACATCATGCCTGGTAAAGTAGAGGGGCAACGAAAAAGAGGAAGGCTCTCAGCAAGATGGCTTGACACAGTGGCTGCCACAAGAGGCTCAGACATAGGAACAATTGTGAGAATGGTGGAGGTCCGGGCAATGCTTCATTCTGTTGTGCATCAGGTCTTATGGGCAAGAACCGACTCGATGGTACCCAATAGCAACAGCCACAATCTGGCTCCAACTACCTAGTCTGTTGTCTCCTTTTTCTTCACAGTTGTTTCCAGACTTATCTCCATTATACCAAAACAGGGGCGTAAGGTTGTGGACGAGCTCACTCGTTAAGCTTGTGCTCTCGTTTCTTCCCACTGGAGGTCTGGGATCAGCTGATATGCTTGAGCTTCCTTCTGGGGAGTGGCACAGTTAAAAGCGCTGAAGTTGCTTGTGAGGTTGAAGAATGAATGGCCTCTGGGAGACTATGTGGCAGTTTAATTGGGAAAGTGTGGTGGGAGTTTGAGTTTACCCACCCTTGATGACTCGTATTCTTGGTGTCCCAGGACTTTCCTTGCTTGTTTTACCTTCTCTTTATTGTTTTCTAGGGATTCGTTTTCCAAAATAAAAGCCTGTTCCGCTGACCTTTTGTTCTTTTTGTCTTTTTTTAGGGTGGGATCTTGGAGCAGCATAATAGCTGAATCTTGAGGTTGGTTGTGGCCCGCACTAGAGAGAAGTCCAGGGTTGGTATTCTTGGGCCATATTTCTCTACTTTGGAATTCACTCAGTTCATTCAAGAAACATTGACCCTCTGCTTGTGGTGCCATATGCCAGTGAAGGTCTGATGGACAGACCCTTTCTGTTGACCTTGTGGCACATGTTGGAAGACAAGGTAAAAGGAGCAAGCAGCGCTCTGCTTTGGTGAATAGGAGCCCTCCGTGCAGTTCTCAGAACATGGGCCCTCGTTTAAAGGTAAGGTCATAGAATAAGTTAAGGCTCAGCTGTCACTGTGATGCAGAACATGGATCTGATGGCCAGTTTCTTTAAGCCTTTCAACAAGGAATGGTAGATATTGAAGGTTACAGTTGCCGAGAGGATTGACTTTGCCTCAAGCAGGGCAACTCTGAAGAAGCCAGCCCCCTCCCCCAAAAAACAACCAACCCCACTGCTGTAGAGTCAGTTTGACTCACAGCAGCCCTGGAGCACCGAGTAGCACTGCCAAGGGCTGTAAATCTTTATGGGAGAAGACTGCCTCACCTTTCTCCCAGGAAGTGGCTGATGGGTTTGGATTCTGGCCTTGTGGTTAGCAGCCCAACTCTTAACCCATTGCACCTCCAGGTCTCTCATGAAGAAGCCAGTGCTCTATTCTCCATGACTCATCATCGCTATCTGGGTTAAACCTTATTTGTCACCATTATTAGGAATCTTTATGCTACAAAACAAAACCAGGCAAAATCCACCCACCCACCAAGCAACCAACCAACCCAAAACTCCGAAAGTCCAATGAGTTTTAGAAATGTATGCAGTCAGCTTTCTAACATTCTTTTGAGATAGGTATTTTCACATATTTCCATCCTTTCTGCCCATGTAGTAGGTAACGTGAGCCAAAGTGCTGTAGCATTAAGCAATTTACCCCAAGTTCTTTAGTAAGAAAGTGATACTTCTGTGTTCATATGTACAGCATTCCATTTTCCTTTGTCATGCTTACTTTTTCCCCAAAAGGTCAAAAGAGCTGTAAGAGTCTGTCTTTCTAATTTTAGCTTCATGTAAGATTCCAGTCAGAGTGACTAATGTCTTTCATACTTTGATTTACCTGCTTTACTAAGTGATATCTTGGGAATGCTCTGCTCTCCTTCTGACTCCATTCTTTCCACGATTCAGGCTTATATGGGGTTAAGAGCACTGGGCTTCAGAAGCCCAGCAGTGTCACTCAACCAGCTGTGCCGTGTTCAGCAGGTTAACTTTTGTAAGCATAGGTTTTTTTACCCCCTAGTAATCTATAAAATAAAAATAACAATGTCTTTCTCACTAAGTTGTGACAATTAATTAGGCTTAACATAGATGGTCCTTCGTGTAGTAGTTGGTTTATGGTAAATGGCTCAGTTAAAAAAGATATCAAATTCTTTTCCCATAGTGCCTATTCCCATTCAAGATGACTGTGTCAGATGTATGATTGCACTCCATAGGTTTCCTCTTCATTACATTTAAATTAGTCTTACTATTGTAGTTGTTGGAAATATACCTGCAGAACACACACTGAATCTGTCCAGGGCTCCGTGACACTGATGTGTGCTTTGTGTTGTCCAGCACTCTCGTCCTCCATTCCTGGGTTTCTTCTCTTCTTGGACACACGCTCACTGCCCTAAAGGTTCTAGTCTTTTGCGTTACAGTTGTCCATTTGACCCCATGTAGATGATGGATCTAGAGAGCATGATGCTCAAGGCAGGCCTTCTTTACTTGTTTCACTGTTGTTTGGCTTTGGGTTGTCAATGGCCGTGCTCTTTTGGAAGGAGAGGACCAGGCGTTAAGGGAGTAGGAGTCGCTATTATTATTCATTTATTATTACTACTGTTTTTCTGCTAGCTTAGAATATTATGAATTGTTGAATTTATAAGCGGAAGAACACTAGGAGAAAAACTTGAAAGCAAACTAAGTAGCAATGGAATGCAACTATATCAGGTAGTGTGCTAGAGTTATAACCCACTGCTCTTCTGTGCTTGCATTACATTCTGGGAGAGTTCCCAATTTAAAAAAAAATTATTTTATTGGGGGCTTGTACAATTCTTATCACAATCCACACGTACATCCATTGTGTCAAGCACATATGTACATTTGTTGCCCTCATCATTCTCAAAACATTTGCCTTCTACTTTAGCCCTTAATATCAGTTGCTCATTTTCCCCCTCCCTCCCCACCCCCCCTCCCTCATGAACCCTTCATAATTCATAAATTATTATAGTTTTGTCATAAGTTACCCAAAATAATTTTATGAAGGAGAAACCTGAAGAGCAGAAAGTGGAAGGTGCTATAGAAGCTGTTAAGAGAGAGAGAAGGGGGAAAAAACAAACCAGGATAATACAGAAGAAAGAACTGTAAAATTGGATCCTACGCCCTACTTAAGGATTCATAGCGAGCACCCTAAAGGAGGGTATTTGATACGTAACTGTTGAACTGAAATAAATTGGTAACTTTTGGTCTGACGAGGTTATAAACCAGGGCTTCGTACTGGTTCAGCCTGGTTCAGTCATGCTGTATGAAGCAACATTGGAACAAATCTGAATTTCTAAAATGTGGATAAACTGGAATGTTAACCAGAACAAGTAAATTGCAGGTTAAAACCATGCTAGAAACTTAAATTTCCCTCTTGGAAAACAACATAAACACCCGAATCTTTTGCTGCCTGGCACAAAGTTGACAGACTGCTGCTTTGAATGTGTGTTGGCTTTCACATCCTCGACAGTGACCTAGTGTCATACATCAGGCTTGTGAAAGGGATCACAATGCCTCTTCCAGTCTCCCATCCCAGGGCTTCGACCTATGATTTATGGAGTGTATTAGGGAAGTATCAGTGTACAATTCAGGATAAGGAATACTTAGGACACAATTCTTTGGATAGTCTACTCTTAGTTTGCAGGCACACCCAGGTCCTCCACGTCCTGGTCTGCTCAGGCAAATATTACAAAACATTTTAAGTTCTCTGTCTTTTAGCCCTATATCTTCTTGGCCTGTGCCCAGCTTGGGCAAGTATAATTTTGTCAACTGAGCCCACTCCATAAGTAAGCTTGACTCTGAAATTATATGGAGGCAGCCCACTCTTGTCAGTAGTCTCCACTAAGGCACTTAGTGTTCTCATTCTGTGGGCCAGGCGTGTCTCATGCTCTTGGTTTTTCAGCTACCCTTGTCATCTCTGGTGTCATAGTTCTCTACCTTCTGGATTGAGGGAATGTAGCACAGGGATTTCAGAGTGCAAAGGACGCCCTTCACTCTCAGCTCCTCTTTCTTGATGGTAGTGAGAGCCCCCTTTCTGCTGCTAACCTGGCACATTTTAAACCTGATGCGATGGCAAAACTGACCAATCCACACATGTTAGGATTCCATCGTTCTACCCTACAGTTTGGTATAAAGAAAACTAATAGCTTCACACTAGATCAGTAGACAATAGCCTAATAAATGAAGAAAAGATTGAAATTGTCAAGGATTTTATTTAACTTGTATCCAGTCAATGCTCATAGAAGCACCAGTTAAGAAATCAAATAATGTGTCATTACTTTGGGAATGCAAAGATGTCATTTTGAAAGACTAAAGTGTGTGTACAAATGCACTTTACACAATTGATGTGTGTATGGATTGCGATAACAGTTGTATGAGTCCCTAATGTTTAAAAAAAAAAAAGAAAGAAAGACTAAAGTGTGCTTGACCAAAGTGGTATTTTAAAATCACTTCATATGCATGCAAAAGTTGGACATTGAATAAGGAAGAACTAAGAAGAATTGATGCATTTGAATTATGGTTTTGGAAAAAAACAAAAAAATTTGCAAGTACCATGGACTCCCCCAAAAGAACAAGCAAATCTGTCTTAGAGGAAGTGCAGCCAGAATACTCCTTAGGAGCAAGGATGGTGAGAGTGTGCCTCACATTGGACATTTATCAGGAGCTTAGTCCCTGGAGAAGGCCCTTGTGCTTGGTAAAATAGATCAGTGAAAAAGAGGAACTGTTAGGAAATGGGTTGACTTAGTGGCTGAAACCATGGACTCAAATGTAACGATTGTGAAGATGGTGCAGGACAGGTTAGTGTTTCATTATTTTTTTGTAGAGTAACTGTGAATACAAACCAACTTGATAGCGCCTGACAATAACAACGATTCCACCAGGGTGCTTTGTACCCTGTTTACACGATTGACAAGCCATCTAATTCCGTTGATGGGCCTCAAAGACTTCATATTTGCTTAGTCCTACTCAACTATGTGTTGCTAGTTAAAAAGACTATGGCTAGAAAAGCCATGTCAATAATCTGCATTGCAGCTGCTCAAATCAGAACTCATTAGAAAGGTGTTTACAGTTGATCAAATCTCATCATGGGGGTGATTACGTCATATTTGATAAGCCTCTGAGAATTATAGTTCAGGCAAGTTGACATACAACCTTAACCATCAGTTGGAGCCAACTCAACAACCAGTACCACTTTACATGAGTTTGTTTTATTCGTGACGTGTGCCATGAATTTGGCACTGCCCGTATCCCTCTGAAGAGCACGGCGCTTCCTTTTCTGCCGAGTGCAGTGGCTCCCTGAGGACTAGTGGTTTCACACCCAGGGACAGCTGGAATGGACGTTCAGCCCAGGGAGCACCTAAGGCAGTTCCAGCCCATCCTGTTCTAGTCCAGCCTGTGAGCCACAGGCAGATCACAATTTGTGAGAGACGATAGCAGCTGTTTAGGAGACAGGGTGCTTGTTTGGGAAGGAAGCTTCAATAGTTGTGATGCTCACTTTTGGATCTGGTCATAATAGATTCTTCTGGGAGTACCTTAATACATGCGTAGAGACAGTGCCACCACTCCAAGTAGATTCAGTCAAAATAGCCATTTCTGTGAAACTTAAACTATCTGACCTCTGGGGATTCATTTGGGCATATTGTTATCAGAGGAACTAGTGGCTGCCTCCTCACCTGTAAAAATGCATCCTTTAAATAAAACAAAACAGAAAATCTGTCTCATAGTCTCCCAAATCTGAGCCTGTCTTCAGTTGTTTCTACTCTATCATCTTGGTAGTGAATTGGTATATTAGCGCTTTTTTCTTCTGGAAGCAGGTTTAATAACAGGGAAAGTCACCCTCCACCTTCCCCACGCCCCTCACCCTCCAAATTCTATTGCTCTTGCTTCAACTGTTTTACATCCTAAGCATCCCTCAGGATGAGCAGTAGTTTCTTCCTTGCCTTTCTCCCCTTGGCCTCTCTGTTGAGCTCATCTTCCATAAGGCTTGTTAGTTTATCTGATTGGTAACAACAAAAATAACTTCTCTTACCCACTGCTTATTATTGGGAGAATCCAGAGTTCGTTTTAATGATTCCAGGCCAACATGATAATAATACCTTTTAAAACCCACATTTTTTGTAGCTGTTTCTGCTTAGCTGGAGTACATCCAGAAGGCAAGTATAAGTGGAAAGTGACTCCATTCGCCTCTCTGCTTGTGTTAATTAGTACCACTCTGCAGGGTCCCTAGATTGGGAGCCCCCGATCTAGGATGAGGAAAGCCTGTCACTGCACTTTCTAATTAGCAGGAAAGCAGTGACTGTTGGCATTATTCCCAGGGTGGCAGTAGACTGGAAATCTTTAGGGCGAATGATGCCATCTCTCTTTGCTTCTCTGAAATATGGCTGAGGGCACCTGCCAGCCAAGAGAAAGAGGACAGGGATAGCTCTCAACCTGTGGGTTGCGACCCCTTTGGGGGTCAAATGACCCTTTCACAGGGGTCACCCAATTCATAACAGTAGCAAAGTGACAGTGATGAAGTAGCAATGAAAATGATTTTATGGTTGGGGGGGTCGCCACCACATGAGGAACTCTATGAAGGGGTCGCGGCATGAGGAAGGTTGAGAACCACAGGACTAGTGGGAGTTGGTTGGCTCAAGCCACATACTTTCCTCTGTCTCAGTCTGGGATGGCTGTGGGGAAGAATTGGAGAAAAGACTAAACAAGCCCTCTTTTACAGCTGCAGCTGTGATCCTCGGCTGTCTTGTCGGCATTGGAGAGACCTGATGTTTTACGTTATTGGTAAGTTATGGAAAGAGCCTTCTTTATTATCTTGTTGTTAGGATTTCTGGCATCCTTTCTGCCTCTCTGTCTACCCCATTCCCCCTTGAAAACTGACTTAGAAATAATTCCATTCATGCCAGGATGTACCATTACTGAGTTGGCAGTGGAATTCATTCACTTGGGAAGTATTTATTGAGTAACTGTAGTCAGTGCCAGACACTGTTTACTGTAGAGTCTTAGGCCAAAATCAGCCTTCAGTGAGTTGAGAAAATGAAGGGAGATGGTCAAACCAAAAGAGGGAAGTTGTAGTATGTGACTTAACAGGAGCCTATGGGGCCAGTTGGTGAGCTTCCTGACTGGAAGGCTAAAGAGGCCTTGATGATTGATGTGGTGCTTGAAGTGAGCTTTGAAGGATGAGTTTGCCAAGTGAATGAGGGAGAGGCATCCACATGGTGGGACCCGAATGCACATTCTGTTTGCTATTTCTGCGAAGGTCTAGCGCAGGGAGAGGTGACAAAGTTTATGGGGGAGCAGTATGTGTGGTCCATGGTGTAGAACAAAAGCTGGCAGACTCTTCTGATATGGGGCCAGATTTTTTGTCTTTGAGGGCCTAATGGTCTCTGTTAACAACTACTCAATTCTCCCAGCAAAAGTAGCCACACCTCCTGACATCAACTCAATTCCTACTGAGGACAGCCCTGTAGGATAGAGCAGAACTGCCCCTGTGGGCTTTCCAGGCTGTCAATCTTTGTGGGAGCAGAATACCTCATCTTTCTCCCATAGAGTTTGCAGTATTTCTAGGGTTTCTAACTGCTGTCCTGCAGTTATCAGCCCAACGCGTAACTCACTACATCACCAAACCAAACAAACAACCAAACTCATTGCCATCCAGTCAGGAGTGACTCTTAGCGACCCTGTAGGACAGGGTAGAACTGGTCCAATGAGTTGCCAAGACTAACTGTTTACAGGAGCAGAAAGTCCTCTCTTAGTCCCTGGGAGAGGCTGCTGGCCTTGTGGCTCGAAGCCCAGTGGGTAGCTACTACGCCACCAGGGCGCCTTGAAATAGCCATAGACCATTTCAGTGAATGGATGTAGTCATGTTCCAGGAAAACTATAGAGCCGGCAGTGGGTGGGATTGACCCAAGGGTAGTAGTTACTGAGCCCCGGTATGCAAGGACCTCTTTTCAGTTACTCAGACACAGTGAGTGACATGGAGCAGTGTTTCCCTGACGTCTTGCAGACTCACGAACTGCATGAATCTTGGACAGGAGGCTCGCCTATCCCCTGGTGAGAAGCTGGAGTGTAACAGGCAGACGGTGTTGTGTTGTACGTTCTCTCTCTCACAGGTGGAGTCACAGTGTCTGTGGTTGCATTCTTCTTCACAATTAAGTTCCTCTTTGAGCTTGCCGCACGTGTAGTCAGCTTCCTCCAGAATGAGGACCGTGAGCGCCGAGGGGACCGGACTATTTATGACTACGTGCGGGGAAATTACCTGGATCCCCGGTCTTGCAAAATCTTCTGGGATTGGAAGGACCCCTATGAGGTGGGCCACAGCATGGCCTTCCGAGTGCATGTAAGGGACCGTTTCTGTCTCCATACCCGTTGCCCTTGAGTCACATGCTTCCCAGAGGCTGGTCAGGTGGTTGGTAAATGTCAGAGATGTCAACACTCCCCACCCACCCCCTGCGCTCTTGACCCCTCCCAGAACTTGGAAATTAGTTAATACCTGAAGAGTCGGGGACTTCTCTGTCATTTCGGTTCAATAGGTGCTTAGCTTTGAAGCATAAAGCTTAATGTTACCTTTCCTGTGTAAGAACAATGTTCCTGAAGAGCGGCCTGTTTGTGTAAGTCAAGCTGTCTTGGAGCCCAGCCATTGGAGTCCTTTCAAGATACAGTGACTGGCTGCTGTCACACGTGAATGGTTATAGCAGCTGGGTGGCTGCACCTGCCCACGATGCTGGAGCCATTTACCCCTGGCACTTGGCAGGAAAAGCTGGCCGAGCCCTCCAGTGATTCCTCACTGCAGCTGTCTGCTGGGCTTGGGAGCCAAACCCCCAGCTCCCCTGCCTGCTGCTGTAGTTCATTCAGTACTGATAGGGCTGGCTGATGTACCTCTTAAGTTTGTATCATCGTTGATCAGAGAACAGAAAGGGCTGTTGAGATGGGCAGTGGGAGGTTGGAGCAGAGGAGAGGGTGTCAGCATTTATGGTTAAGAAACTTCAAGTTTAAATAGACTCTCTACTTAATTCAGTGGTATATTGTGCTACTCCCATCTGAACCGATTCAGCATGTGCTTGTGACGCAAGTGTTTTCTTTGAGATGTTGAGCAGGATGGGAGGAGTAGCTACTGGGATCTACCAGGGTGACCTCTGCCAGCTACCTCCTTCCTCCCTAACCCTGTCTCTCATCACAGGGGAAATGAGTTCTCCTGCCTACTAATGGGTGCCTCTCTTCTCCCCACTGCAGTTATTCTATAAGAATGGACAGCCTTTCCCCGCACACCGGCCCGTGGGACTCAGAGTTCACATCTCTCATGTTGAGCTGGCCGTGGAAATCCCAGTGACGCAGGAAGTCCTTCAGGAGCCCACAACTAATGTAGTAAAGGTGGCCTTCACTGTGCGCAGGGCTGGGCGATATGAAATTACGGTGAAGCTTGGTGGACTAAATGTTGCCTATAGTCCCTACTACAAAATTTTTCAACCTGGTACGTTTGTTTTTTTCTTCCTTTCACTCTTCTTTCAAAAATAACATCTTTATGGAGATTTAATTCCTGTATCACAGAATTCATTCATTTAGAGCACGTGACTCGGTGATTTTTTAATACGCATAGAGTTGTCCATCATCACCATAATCCGCTGTGGAACGTTTTTATTCCCTCAGCAAGAAACCCTCAACCGGTCAGCCGTCACTCCCCATTCCTCCAGCCCCTTCCTTCAAATCCAGGAGCTTTTGTGTCTCTATGGATTTGTCTTTTCTGGACATGTCATATGATGGAATCATGAACTATGTGGCCTTTTGAATCTGCTTATTTTGAGCATGCTATTTTCAAGGGCCATAACATGTAGCATGAGTGAGTACTTCGCGTCCTTTTATTGCTGAAGAACATTTCATTGTGTGGGTATGCATGGGGAACGATGTGGCCATCTGCTCCCTTAAAGCTCTAGGGCCGCGGAAACCCAAAGCAGCAGTTCTGCTCTGCCCTCCCTGCGGGGTCGCTATGAGTCAGCATCAACTTGACAGCCTTGGGTCGGTTTGGCTGCACCACATTTCGTGTATCTGTCAGTGGAGGGACATTGGGTTGTTGCAGCTTTCTGGCTAGATGAGGAATCCTGCTATGAACATGGGAGTATAAGTTTTGTGTGCACACATCGTTTCTTTTCTCTAAGAGTAGAATTTTCTGGGTCTTCAGCCTCTCAAATTCTTAAAGTGCAAAGGGTGCCAGAATAGACAAGAGAAAATTCTTCTGATTTTTGGAACCCTTTCAAGTAAAAGCCTCTTGACTCCACTCCCACTCTGTGCTGATAATACACTATATGTGGTACTTCTCTAAAGAATGCCTGCCCCAGGCTTTGGATTTAACATTCGAGGCCTTTATCTCTACCTTATTATTTATTTTTCTCAGGTCCTCAATGCTGGATAACAAATGTGTTGAAGTCTAAAGAGTGTGACGTCATCATTCCTGGCGCTGAAGTGCAGGTCTCATGTGCTGAGATCCTATGTGTCTTTGATCTCTCTGAGGGCCAGTTTGATGCCTATAGAAATGACAGGACCTTCAGTACCTTTGGGGGTCAAACCACAAGGAGAGGAGCCATAAGCACATTTGCGGGTCTTTGCCTAACGGGTCTTGGTTGAGGTTTTCTTTCTTTGTATAATAGAAGAAGGTTCTGGATAAAGTGACTTCCAAGCCAATTCTCCCTCCATATGTCTTCTTCTTTGTGCTTAAATGTCTCCCTGAGCACTCCTTTGCCCATGAATTAACATCATCCCATCACTTGCTACCAATTCATATTCTTAGAACCAGCATCTTGTTTTAGAGTTACACCTTTCATTTTGGCATAATTAGAGAATCACAAGCAGTATCAGAAACAGCATGGTGAGAGCCTGCCCCTGACAGGAGGCCTGGTGGTATAGTGGTGTAGTGGTGCGTGTTGGGCTGCCACCCACAAGGTCAGCAAAGTGAAACTACCAGCGGCTTGGTAGAACAATGAGGCTTTCTATTCCCATAAAGAGTTACAGTTTTAGAAACCCACAGGAGTGTCTACCCTGTTCTATAAGGTCACTATGAGTCACTATGAGTTACCCCCGTAGTAGCATAAAGCTATAAAACAGCATCACAGCCACTTCAGATGTTCACGCCGTCAACATGCAGGCAGTTCCATCACCACAAGGCTCCTCCTGTTGCCCTTCTAGAGCCACAGCCAGTTTTCCTCCCCAGACTACCCTTGCCGTAACCCCTGGCAATCCACTAGATGGTTTCCATTGCTATGATCTCGTCATTTCAAGAATGTGATATAAATTGAGTGATAGAGTATGTAGCTTTTTTTTACATGCTTCTCTGGAGAGTCTCCAGGTCCCTGGATGTACCATTCGTTACTTTTTACTGCTCAGTAACCTTCTATGGTTCGAATATGCCATAGTTTGTTTGAGTCTTCACCCATTAAAGGACATCTGAGTTGTTTCGATTTTTTGGGCTAATATGAATAAAGCTCTGGGAAACATTGTGTGCAGGTTGTTGTGTGGACTCGAGCTTTCGTTTCTCTGGGATAGCCGCCCAGGAGTCCAGTTGCTGCGTCATGTAGTAGCTGTGTGCTAAGGATCATGAGAAAATGTCACGCTCTTTTCCATCAGCCGGTACGAGTAATTCCTTCCATCAGTCTTTTGGTGTTTTCAACTATTTTTTATATTTGCCATTCTGGTAAGTGTGCAGTGATAGCCTGTGGTGGTTTTACTTTGCATTTCCCTAATCGTTGATGATACTAAACATCTTCTCACGTGACTATTTGCCATCTGTGTATCTTCTTTGCTAACGTCTCTGTATCTTTTGCTCATTTTAAATTGATTGTTTTTTACCATTGGGTTTTGAGAGTGCTTTATTATTTTAGGTACTAGTGTTTTGTTGAATGTGTGGTTCGCAAATATTTTCTCCCAGTCTATACTTTATCTTCTTTCCTCTTAATAGGGTCTTTAACATAGCACAAGCTACTAATTTTGATGAAGTCCAATTTATCCTTTCATGGATAATGCTGCTAGTGTCAAATATAAGAATTCTTAAACTATATCTATGTTCCTAAGATTTTCCCTGCCCCCCAGCCCCACTCAAAGGTTTCTTATTTTACATTTAATGCTATGATTCATTCGGAATTAATTGGTATGTAAGATGGGAGATTTTGTTCAAGGCTTTTTTTTTTTTTTTTTTGCCTCTGGCTCCCCCACTTACCACTCCTGGGGAGAAAGATGAATCTGTCAGCTCCCATGAAGGACAGTTCTACTCGGTCCTATAGGGTCTCTGTGAGTCAGAATCGATCGATGGCGGGGAGTTCGATGGCTATCTTGTTGCTTCAGCATTGCTTCAACTGTTTGTTGAAAAGGCAGTCCTTCCTCCCTTGAATTGCGTTTGCAATGAGACCACATTCATCTGGGCATATTGGTGTGGGTGTGGCATGGACTTGAAGGCACCTGGCTCGTTCTCGGTCCTGTGTTCTGTTCACCAATCCATATGCCTGTCCCTCTGCTGGTACCACACTGCAGTTTGGATTACCATTGCTGTTGATACTGGGTAAACTGATTTTTTTTTAATTCTTTTTCACTTCATCTTCTCTGTCAAAATTGTCTTCATTATCCTAGACACTTTCTTTTTTTCCTACACGCTTTGGATTAATCTCTTCTCTGTCTAAAAACATCTCTTTCTGGAAATTGTGGTAAAAATTATATTAAACCTCTGTCTCAGTCTGGGGAGAAGTGATGTCTGTATTATGTTCTAGCTTCCAATCCAGATACCTGGTTCTTCTCCATTTAAAGCAATTTCCTTCCATCAGTCTTTTGGTGTTTTCAACTTACAAGCCTTGTCATGTTTTGTTAGACTGACACCCCCAGTTAGTGTTTACACTTCATTTCAAGGGGGATCTAGGGCATGATAGCTGCACCTCTCTGTTTTGTTTTTCTCTTCAAGCCCTTTTCTCATTTTGTTTAGCACTTGCAATACTTGGGAATTTGTAAAACTAAGCCCCAAGGTTCATTTGAATTTCTCTCTTTCATTCTTCCTTTGCTTTTTATTTGCCTTTTGTCGTGTTGTTTATCCCTAGGAATGGGCGTGGCTTCCACTGTCTCAGGCTCACTGACTTAGCACCTCTCTCAGCACCAGATTTCTCACAGGAGCCTTGGCGGCACAGTGGTTGTACATCGGGCTGCAGTCTGCAGGGTCTAAGTACTAGATTTCTCTTTTTTTCTAGGAATGGTAGTTCCTTCCAAGACCAAAATTGTGTGCCATTTTTCTACTCTTGTGTTGACCTGTGGGGAGCCACATACCCTTCAAATAGTGCCCCGAGATGAGTATGACAACCCCACCAACAACTCCATGTCCTTGAGGGATGAGCACAATTACAGTGTGTCCATTCATGAGGTAAGCAGTGGCCTTTCCTTCTTGCTGTGCTGTGAGTAGGGGCCCCCTCACCTGCATTCTCCTCCTTTCTAACTCACTCCCTCTTCTCCTCTCTCGTCTCCTCTGCCTGACTCCTGGCTGCAGTTCCACCGTCTGACAAGTCCTATCTCAGTAGTTGTGAGACAGGGTAGATCATAGTTAGGGCACTTCTTTGAGTGGAGGAAACAGCCATGCCAACCAGGAGAACGAGGTGTGGTAAGTGCTGCTTGCTTTTCCTCCCTAGCTGGGTCCTCAAGAAGAAGAAAGCACGGGCGGGGTCTCATTTGAGAAATCCACGTCATCCAACAAGCAGACCTGTCAAGTGTTCTTACGGCTCACTCTGCATTCTCGTGGCTGCTTCCATGCCTGCATCTCATACCAGAATCAACCAATCAATAACGGTGAATTTGACATCATTGTCCT